AAAATTACATCTTTCAAAACCCTGTTGCCAGAGTCCTGCAGCTGTAAGCAAAATCACATCTCTGCCTTTTTTTTTTTCAGTTTAATTTTTTGTGTGTTAAATAGAAGGCTAGGAGTTAGATTTAAGGTCCTGCTACATTATTCTGTTATGTTTACATGATTCTTTGTGGCCTGAAACAGAGTTCTAATCAAAACTACTTTTGCTGAAGAAAAAATTCAGCCTCCATTTGGGTGTAATTTTAAGCAGTTATTCACAGTTATCACAAATTGTAAGCACAAAAAAACCTGACTGAAGAAGTAGGGATGCAACAATAACCTTTTTAAACAGTTATTTCCCTCATCTGTTTCAATGCAGTATACATCATTTATCGTCTCCTCCTCTGTCTTCCCTCAACCCCGATGTCAGTCCCGTTTTACAACAGTGGCCCTGTGCATTATTTGTCCTTTGTCACTGAGAGCTTTCACTCATTTATAATAATTCATGAGTTTTTGAATGCTACATTTCTATATTCCATTGTGTGAATATACCAGAGCTTCTCTATTCATGTTTGTTGATGGGCACTTGGGTTGTTTCCAGCTCTTTGCTAGTGCTAACAAAGCCGCAATAAACATGGGTGCGCATATATCTGCCTGGGTGGCAGTTATGGTTTTTTTAGGGTACAAAGCTGCAGTAAACATGGGTGTGCATATATCTGCCTGGGTGGCAGTTATGGTTTTTTTAGGGTAAATTCCCAGTAGTGGAATTGCTGGGTCAAATGGTATATCTATTTGCAACTTTTTGAGAAAGCTCCATACAGCCTTTCATAGTGGTTGCACCATTTTACCCTCCCACCAACAGTGAATAAGGGTTCTAGTTTCTCTGCAACCTCATCAGCATTTGATGTTTGCTGATCTGTTAAATTTTGCTATTTTTACTGGGGTGAGATGATACCTCATAGTTGTTTTGATTTGCATCTCTCTTAGAGCTAGGGATTTTGAACATTTCTTCATGTACTTTTTGGCCATCTGAATGTCGTCTTTGGTGAAATGTCTGTTCATATCCTATGCCCATTTTTCAATTGGGGGAAGTATTTTTATACAGGCTTACACAAGTGTAGATGAAAACTTGGTTTACACAAAGAAGATGCATTGTCCTTATACTGACAAAATAAAAGTTTCTGTCTCACTGGCTTTTTAGTTTTAAAAATAGATGGTTGTTATATGCTGGTTAGTCTCCTGAGGCTCATAGCAACCATATGTACAACAACCCTAAACTCTGCTCTTGTGCCAATTTTTTGTCTCTGACACACCTACCCCCATTACCCCAGTGACTGAATCAACCCATCTCATTGAGGGTCTTCCTCTCTTGCGCTGTCCTTCCACCTATCAAGCGTGACGTCCTTCTCTTAAGGACTGGTTTCGCCTTGCAACATGTCCGAAGTACGTCAGATGAAGCTTCAGAATCCTTGCCTCCAAGGAGCAACCTGGCTTTATGCTCTCCAGAATGAACTTGTTTGTTCTCTTAGCAGTCCATGTTCATAGTCTATGTTCTTGTCCAGCATCACAGCTCAATTCTTCTATCATCCTTAGTCATTGTCCAACTTTCTGATACATAGAATGTAATTGCAAAGAGAATGGCCTAGATCAGACACACCTTTGTCTCTAGATTGGCAAGTGGGTAAAATAGAATGGGTAGTTAAGTTGATTCTCAGATACTAAGTATTTATGGAATTGTGCAGTAGTCTTAGCCATATAAGTATTTCTCTAATTGGGTTAGTGATAGAGTGTCTTCAGAGATGGTAGAACAAGCATTTTTCCTGATACTCACTGGCTGGCTTTCTCATTTGGAGGTAGTGGTTTCATCTACAGCTCTCCTGATGGGATGTGGTGATTTCTACCACAGACTGGCTTTGAGCATTGCTATTTCTAAAATATTCCTGTCAGAGAAGATTAATATGCTGCTACTGTTGTTTTTACGTGTCGTTGAGTCGCTTTCGACTCACAGCGA